CCCCCCCCGTAAGGTGACTGACTTGCATAGTAATTATTAGTAAATTTTATAATTTATATTAAATTATTTGACATTTATATAATATAAAATTTCAGTAATTTCACAATATTATCTTGTTATCAAAACACGTATTCGCGATCATATAGTATCATACTAGTATCTATAAACCTTGCAACTTGTATCTGAATCCCATATTCTCATGTAAATTAATATTTATTTTTTTATTATTTCGCCCCCCCAAGGTCTGGAGACGCCCCTGCCATTTCGTAGGACATTGTAAATTTCATTCATATTTCATTCGAATTGAATTTACAGAGTGATTCTTTTAAGTGGGTACACTAATTATCCCGAAAAGTATTTACTTTTTTCAAAATATTTTTTTACATGGTTTCAAGTTGTTAAAAAACCAACGTTTTTATTAAAAAATTATATTTTTAAATATTTTTTATCCTTATAATTTTCTAAGTTTTTTACTTTTTTGTAAGACAACATAGAGTTTTAATTTCATATTCCAAAGCAGAATATTTTTTTAAGTATTTTGATTCATAAAAATCGAATTTAGGACGAGTAGTTTATGAGTTATATGTATTTAAAATTTAGACAAGCGGAGTAGTGGAAAAACATTTTTCGGGGTAACCCCGTACCATTCCACTCTGCCAATCTAAACTTTAAAATACTTATAACTCAAAAACTATTAGCCCTAAATTCGATTTTTATGAATCAAAATACTTAGAAAAATATTCTGCTTTGGAATATGAAATTTAAACTCTATGTTGTCATTCAAAAAATTAAAAAAATGATATTGAAATTAAAACTCTATGTTGTCTTACAAAAAAGTAAAAAACTTAGAAAATTMAAAATTATAAGGATAAAAAATATTTAAAAATATAATTTTTTAATAAAAACGTTGGTTTTTTAACAACTTGAAACCATGTAAAAAAATATTAAAGAAAAAATACTTTTCGAGATAATTTGTGTACCCACTTAAAATTAATAATCACCCTGTATAGTACAATGTTTATTGTACATCACATTTTCCATATTTTGCTTTTTAACCATCAACCTTCGACTAGCTATTATTACACATCCCAATTTGGACCAACGACTGAAATAATTACAGTCCGCATCAAGGTTACCTAACATAATTATATCATACTTTAATCAAATGTATATATTTTATATTAATTACATTTTTTTAAAATAATTTTAACATTTCATAAAATATATGATCATGGAATACATTTCTATTTTGTGTTTTGTCCTTGAATAATAGTTTAAACTGGATACCGTATAAAAGAAAATTGCCAATATATGTTACTTGTTCGGCTTTTCTCTATAAGGTCTTGACAGTTAACTTATTGACTTGACTTAAACGAGTTAAAAGTTACAATATGTTACCAATGGTCTATTTTGATACGCATCAAATCTATTCACAACTCCACAATCACAACGTCCATAACGATCAATGACCATCGTAATAATAAATTTAAAAAAAACATATTGTACAGTGTAATTTAAAAATCTATTTTTAAAACACTAAAATCCGGCCAATGACCTATAAAGTAGAAGCCCTGTGATAATAATAACAAAAAAAAGCATTGTGTGGTATCATTTAACCAACCTCCGAATTTCCTTCCAACCAAGCATGTATAATATTATAAGCAGTTCAGCAGTTGGATATGAGAAGTACACACATTTAAGTAGAGAATAACTCCACATAAGATTTTGAACCACATCAAATAACACTGCCGACTCTTATCGACATTATGTGGCAGGGTATTGTGACGAAACAAAACTAAAATAACACACATAAGCAGCATAAAATCATCTCACGGCAATCACAACCCACCCGCCCTTCTGCCAACAATATTTATAATAAACACAAATACTATTAGCGTTACTATTACTATTTTCCTACCGTAATTAATACGTATTAACTAATTTTGCTTATATATTAAGCACCCATCCACCTATTGGTGATAATCAAATTATTCTTCTCGTCACGTAAAAAAATGAATTAAAAAATCACAACTGATTTTGAAGATAAAGATTTTTTTTTAAATTTAACTAAGGAGAAAATACTAAAAAATTAAAACCCTAATTTCTTGTCAGAAGGCACTGCTGGGAGCCTTCCTTTTCTGTGATTAATGTATTATATTGTTATTTTGTCACGAACACTTTTGAATAAATAAAAACAAAGTATTTTTATAATAATAAAATTAAACTAGGTTTAGCAAATATTTTCATTAGGTATGACAGAAACTATATAAATTCAATAATTCATAACAATTGTAACAAAATATAATAGATAAATTAAATAAAAATTATAAGCATTGAAAAAATATTAAATAACAATATTTAGGTGAATAACACAAAAAAGCCTATTAGCAAATTTTTGTGACTATAGTAAATGCTAAAATAAATAACTAGTGAATATACTATCAACTCTTTGGTATTCTTTTTTAGGTTGCAGCATAAATAAATCGACTTTCTAGAAAACTGACTTTAATGACAAATTCCGGTTTTCTTCCATTTATTTTTGTTTTTAACAAAATATTTTTGTCGGGTATTATTTAGTAAATTATTATGAATTTTCACGTACATTAATAATAGACTAAGAACTAATGATCTAGATAAAATTTGCTGACAAGAAAATACACTATTTTTATTCACATTCTATACGCACTTATCTTTTAATAACTCTCCAACCGTATATTATAAGTTTATAACCAATGAACATTGTGATGACAAAACTCAGTGGCATACATAATGATTGTAAAGGCCAAACACGATGATATTTTATTCAGATAAAATAAATYATACCTAACATCATAGTAAATAATGATACACATTAAAATAGTTAGAATCAATGTTATTCATTTTTTATATTATACATTTCCATAAGAACAAATTAGGTAACACAGATCTGTAATTTATAACTAGTATGGAATTGTATATCGTATTAGTGTTGGTGAAAAACTTAACTGAAACGCGTCATAATGCATTTGTTTTTAATTAATTTACTAACAGTGTTATTGTTCCAATCGACTTCAATATCGTGTATTGGATCGAGAAATTTTAATATTTTCTCTTCATTACCATTCGTAAGTGATTATTTATAATGTCTAATAACCCATCAGTGAATTTCGAAATACGCACAATTGGTATTTTTTTTAAAGTTTTTTAAAAATAGTAATTTTCATCTGTGTTGACATTAACTATTGTCATTCAAATGTTAAGCAAATGGATTTAATAAATAAAAATATGAATGATTGCATTTTGTATGCATAAATATTTCAAGATGTAGTTATATTTCGTAAACAAAATATAGTTTATCAAAGTTTGAKTATTGAGTTAGACCAGTGTTTCCCAACCGGTGGTCCGCGGTACCTTTCTTAGTTTTCTATTAAAAATTATTTTGTTCCTGCCGACGACCGATAAGTATTTTCCACTTTTATAAGTGTGTAGGTATCAGAGTAATAAACTATACTATTATCTATACTTATTAATAAATTTTGTGTATTCATCTAAATGAGCAAAAAAAAAAGGTCTTCCTAGTTTGAGTAAAATTGAGGTGGTCCGCGACCTATAAAATATTGTCGAAGTGGTCCGTGGTGGTAAAAAGGTTGGGAAACACTGAGTTAGACAAAAAGTAAAACACACTATTTTCAATCCATGGTACTTTTAGCTAAGATGATTGTAAAAGTACTATTATAATAAAAATCTTTACAAAAAGATCTACTTCCAATAATTAAACAATTGTCTAGTAAATTAACATGTTTCAACTCAATTAATATCGAATAAATCTAAAATAATTTGAATAAAAAATAAAAATTATAGGTATTAGGTAATAATATATTATTATTATAGTATCTATTTATTTCATTAGGGAGTAATAATAATATTTTACTAAAATGTGTTGCAATATTAGTGGCATAAATAGAGGTTCGACCTCTCCTTTCCATAGAAGAAAAAAAGGGGTAATTTGTGGTTACTTTTGGGGGCGGTTCCATTTTCCTCCAAAAACGAGATACCGCTTTCCTCCAGTGACCATTTTCCTCCACATTATTTTCGACTAAATTTATGTTTATTTTCCCCCAATATTTTAGCAAATATTTTTGTTGAAGTATTACGTTCCGTTTTATAAAGATAGAGTAAAGCTAGGATCACATTTTGTGCTTACCGGTTAGTGTTTATACGTACACTCTGGTATCGGCTACCTATGTCAGCTATCGATTAAGCCTAATAAAGATACGTACATACTCCATATGGGCATATACTTATATATTGTTATATTGTGTATCAGTTGTCACTTCTCATTATGATTACACACATTGAGTGAGACAGACACACCACGAATATATACGATATACTCGCTATATCTACGTCTTATATATATATATAATATATATTATATATATATATAAGACTATATTTTTAGTACCTAGCGAACTATAGTAACGAACTGTCCGTCGACTAGTCACTAGTTTCTATTGTGTCGAATGTCTTTATAGTTCTTGTGTTTCATATTACATATATTTTAATTTACATTATTTATTGGAGGAAAATGGTCAGTGGAGGAAAACGTATCTCGTTTTTGGAGGAAAATGAATTCGGTCTTGGTTGTGTCGTTACCATTCGACGACGACGACAGCGATTACGATGTCAACTAAATATTGCACAATATAGAAAACAATAATAAATTAAAATAATTCTAATATATATTAGCACGCTGTCTGTTATATTAGGCAGTATGCATTTATTAATAGGTTTATCATAAACTTAAATACTTTTATAGTGTAAGTAGAGTGTATGACAAAAAAAGGGGGCTATGATATTCGAGAAAAATAAATAATCAATAAAACATATTTATGATTTCAAAAGTATTAGCTAATAATAAACAATAATGTCTATTCATGTATTTTACCTATATAATACGGGGCTTACCCAATTCAAATGCAAATACAACTAAGAGAAAACAAATACATCATGTTGCAACAATATATATATATGTAAACACTATAAAAAAATCTTAAAACAAGAATATAACTATAAATAATGAAAAATAATACAACTATACAT